ATACAATACAATGAGAAGGATGTACTGCCCCTATACATGCTCCATACCCAGAAGCTCGTAGACCACCAAGCCAATCCACAAGTGTACGGCCACGCTTGGTTCTGTTTCGAAACACGCCGCGCACATAGAAGCCAAACATTATGAAGCAACGTTCACATGATGAGCTTGCAACATCTGACAATGCAATGCACCCACGTTTGTCTGCACGCTGATTCGTGTGCGCCTCTGCTTACACGGCTGCATCAAAGTGACCCTTTGCTTTGCGAAGGTCAGCCAAAAGCACGTCCATGATCCTACGCCGCTTGGCATTAAGCTCGGAGCGGTCGTAGATTTGCAACAGCTGAGAGTAAACATCGTGCCAGTCATCCGTCCACTGGTACTATTCGGGCATGACCTGCACCTGCTGCTCATCCTCGGCCTCCTCGTGCTCATCTTCGCTCTCCTCCTGCTCATCTTCGCTGGACGATGTAGAAGATGACGAAGATGATGATGCATCAGCCTTTGCATCATTGGGCTTGGTATTCTTGGGGGACGACTCTGTCTTTGAAATCGGAAATGTTGCCGCTCTCAATCGCCAAGGGTGCCGGTGCTGAAGACGACGAGGTGGTGCCGTCCTGTAGGGCTAGAAGAAGGTGACCAAATGCATCCAAGGCGCAACCAACCTAAATCCCGACACTACAGCAAACAACTACCAACAAACCACTTCCAAGACCCCACTGCCCGGAAGATCTGGTAGACGAGTGACCTGCAGCGGTCTTAAAGCAAGCGTGTGTTTCGGAACAAGCGACAGATTTCCAAACACACGCCTGCCATTAACATACGACCTACGACCCACAACCCATTAACCCAATAACCCACTCATTCGGCCTAATGGACTTAGGAGGCCCTAACCCATTAACCCAATCATTCTAGCCAAATGGACTTGGGAGGCACTAACCCATGAACCCATTAACCCAATCATTGGCCTAATGGACTTAGGAGGCCTCAACCCATTAACCCAATCATTTGGCCTAATGGACTTAGGAGGCCCCAACCCATTAACCCATTAACCCAATCATTCTGGCCAAATGAACTTGGGAGTAGGGTTCATTACCACTTGGGCAAATCATTGGGTTAATGGGTTAATGGGTTTGGGCCATTCCCACTTGGGCAAATCATTGGGTTAATGGGCTAATGGGCTGTGGACTACTACGGATATGTTTCGAAGCAGACACGAGTTGCGAAACCAGATAGCAGAATCGACAGCGGAATGGCAAAGTTGCAAAAATGCAGGGGGAGGGGGATAACTACCTACCCATATTATATACACATATAATATATGTATATATATATATATATGTATATGGTTCTGTTTTGCTGGCAGGCTGGTGCTTGAAGTGATCCGCGGGGGGGTTGGGGGGGCGCAGCCCCCACCATTTGCGAACACAACGTCGTCTTTATCATGGGCTCTGTTTTTGCTGGCATGATGATACTTGAAGCATTCTTGCACTGCTTACGAAGCGCGGGGTCTTGGGGGACGCAGCTAGACTGCCTGCACGATGGGATGAGTGAAAAGGTCTATAACAGTTATGCGTGCGTGCGAACCAATTCTCGTTGATGTGCGATATTCTTGAATGCAAGATGGCGAAGGAAGAACGTGGGGGCATTGCAGGGGGCGCAGCCCCCTCGCCTCCGTGCGACGGGGAAATTCACTCACACACTTTCGTATCTTTCGTGTCTGGCTGTGTGTGGGTGTGTGTGGCTGTGAGTGCGCGTCTTGCGCGGCGGGCCGCGCAAAAAAAACTCGGGGCGCGGTTTTTTTGGTCTGTACGAGGCGCGGGAAAATTCACTCGCTCGCTGGCGCGTCCGCGGCTGCGCGTGGCTGAAAATGCGCGTCCTGCGCGGCGGGCCGAGCAAAACGAAAACACGGGGTGCGTTTTTTGTTCTGTACGCGGCGGGGGGAAATTCACTGACTCACTGGCGCGTCCGCGGCTGTGTGTGGCTGTATACTACAAGTGCGCTTCCTGCGCGCGGCAGGGGGAAATTCACTCACTCACTGGTGCGTCCGCGGCTGTGTGTGGCTGTAAGTGGAGGTTCTGCGCGGCGGGCCGAACAACCAATCCTGAAATACGGTTTCTGGTCGGATGCTGGGGCGCGTTGTCTTTTGGTTCGGTACGCCACAGGCCGAGCAAAAAAAAACCGGGGGCGTGGTTTTTGTTGTTCGGTACGCGGCGGGCCAGCTAAAAAAATCAGCTTTTTCTAGAGCGGGCCGAGCAAAAAAAAACACTTCTTCCAGACAAAGACGTCGTCTTTGAATGCTGCTTGCATGGCTTCTGCTTGGCAGGCCTGGCCTGGCAATCGCACGCTTCACCAGGTCGTACCTTCAGAAGACACGTCTGCGCATACGTGCGCTCAACAACATTCACTTCCACAGCCCTCTCAGATCGGCCTCTCATCGTCGCTCATCGTCTTCTTCGACTCCGAAGCTTTCTGGCAAGGCACGCAGCCCATGTCAAGTAAGAGACACACTTTCGACTGTCTTAAGTCCCACAGACACAAACTTTCTTCCGCCTTCAGGAAAGGCTAGCGGAGAAGCACACCCATGCCGACTGTTCATTCCAAGTCATTCCACTACACTGCGAAGGGACTTTTCAGTGAATCCAGGGCTGCACAGACTGCACGGGATTTAAACTTGGAAACACCATAGTTCCATGAGCGTCTTCCGAGGCCAGCAGACCACGTAGTGCGAATCTTTTTTGGAACTTCCGGACGAAGTATAGCCTGCACCCATCACGCGATCGGCAAAGTCCTGATTTTAAACGATATCCAGGAAGGCGCTCTGCAGAGGAAGTAAAATCCCTTGTCGGAGCAAAGCGAAATGGACTCGCGCAAGCTTGGGACCAAAAACGCCATGTCAATCTTGCCCCTGCCGCTAGGTAGGGGCTTCCTCTCTCTCTAGGTTGCACGATCCTTCGAAACGCAGCCAAAACGGCCGAGGGCAGAACTGAGCGCTGGCAGCACTTCTTAGCTCGAGAATTTGGAGGATCAGCACATGTTCAACCAATTCACTCATGAAATCGTTAAGTGCGTACCGCAGTACCAGCCTCGTCTTGGCTTCATCCGTGCGTAGAAAACCGAATCGTGCGCTGGAGAGTCGATTTGCGAACTGGAAATACCGCACTGAAACAAGAACAAGGATTCACGCACGTGTGCATTCGAGAACTAGGACCCTGGATCTGCGAAAGCCCTGCAACTCCCAAAAGGAGTAGGGGAACGTAGCAGGGGCCAAACCCCAAGGAAATCCTAGACCCAAGCCTAAACCGCACTCTAAGTAAGCCGGGTTAATTCGGAAGTGAGTGGTGCCGGCAATTCCCGACCCTAAAAGGACTGACTATTACAAAACCCCAAAGCCAAAGATTGCCTCAGTGGGTATCAAGCCCAACACCTGCAAACGAGTGTGAGCTTGCGTGGAATGACTCGGCGTCAAGTACACAACAACTGAACCCCACAGAAAGATCGTTGCTTCTTGGCTCTGAGATCTTTTTCGGACTCTCGCCGAGCCTGCTTCCCACTCCGACCCGTCCTCCTGACTCGACCCTGCAAGTTCCCACTCTTTGTTTCCTCGAACGACTGAATTCATCGGTTGGTGCTGAAGCGGCAGTGCTCGAATCGGAGTAAAGGTGCGCACGCTCGTAGGGCACCTGGCCGTGTGGCTGCGTGGTGTGGCCTCACGTGCCCGGGCCGCGTGTCGCGCGGGCGGCAGGACCGTACGGCCGCGTGGCCGCGGGCCGCCACGGGTCTCGGGCCTCGAGCCTCGGGCGGCGTGTTTAAGATGCTTGATGATTGCCAAATGAGGGGGCCTGTTTAAATTATATGATGAACCGGGATCGCCAAATAAGGGGGGGAGGGGTTGAGACATATGATGAACCGGCGTGGGGACTGCATGGCCGCGGAAGGCGAACCAACACGGCCGCGTGGCCGCAGGCCGCGCGTAAATCATAGGGTTCTGTCGAATCGCGTGTACTGTCGCGTCTGGTTTGGTGCGGGCAGCTGGCGTGCCTGAACGGTGAAGTGCATCGCAGTGCTCGAGTCGGGGCCAGTGCATGAATCCTTTAGGTCTTCCCCTGCTGGCACCGGCGCGGAAGTGGCCATTCTCAAAACTGTAGGAACTCCGTGGAATTTTCTTGCAGATAAACACACACCTAACAAGACCGTACTGGAAGAACATAGCCCTGGGAGTCCATAGGAGAGATAGAAGCTCGGAAACAGCACCTTGCGGAAACAGTATGCCGATGAACTGTCAGACTGTGATCTATGCACTCGGCATGAAATTTCCCAAGGAGACTACCTTCGAACTTCAGCTTCTACTCTGCTGAATGAAAGCTCTCGAAGTCTCAAGCCCTGAAGACTTGCCTGGCTTGCAAGTACTCGGATGTTGAGAGGAGCCGACTACACACAGGCTTGTCTGAAAGATATGTCCGTCAAAGGTTGAGTGCGCAGGTTCTTGAGAGGGTAGCACCAGAAGATGACATTCGACTAAATGCAATCTCCGAGAACGCAAATCAAGGCCTTGATGTCCAACCTGCGCCTGTGGAAAACCACATTGCCTTGAAATGAACAGTGAAGAATTTACGCACCACACTCCTACAGCAAACTGAGTGTCACTCTTTCCTCAAGAATGCGCAGGGCAGCTTCCTTCGTTGCGAAGTGCACGAAGCCCCTCGGATCAATAAACAGAATTCCCAACGTGGGTGTATGATGTCGGAATGAGGCCAACGCCACGACGCTCTGTCTCTGTAGACCAGAGTGACGAGACCCCACTGAGAGAAAAAATCGCCTACCTCAGCCGCAAACATCTCCAAATGTCAGATCTGCTGATGCATAACACGCTGTAGACAGGCAGGCAAGCAGGCCTCCTCTTCACTATCCCTGTCGCCGATGCCACCCACGAAGACCTCTGCAAGGGAGAGACGCGAAGGATTCAAGCCTCCAGCCACCAGGCCTTGCACGGATCGGCCTCACTAAGCATCGAGTCTTGCTTCTGCTTCTCCTCATCCGTGTCCTCTTAGAAAATGAGTCGGTTGCCGTCAACCTTCTGACCACAAACTTGTGAAGCCTTCTTTCTTGGCGTGGCAAATCCCATGGCCAGCTGCCTCTGAACACCTTCCACCATCAGTCACAGATCACATCGGCACCAGGACAAGGTGCACTGAGCCTGCCTGGAAAGTCCTGTCTGTCAACTACGGCACAATCTGCATCGGCTGCAAATCTGAAAGTCACAAAGGCATACCTTAGGGCGAAAGGCCAGGACGACACAGCGACCTTCGACATATCACGAGCATTAGGCCCTGACGGAGCCTTGTTTTTTTCTCCATCCTGCATTTAGAGGAGGTGCGTCTGGCTAGTTTAGGAGGCGGCACTCCTTCGGAGGGCAGACATTGCAGTGAACAACATGTCCGTACCTTGTGCAAAAAACTATCTCAAGTCTTCTGGCTTGCTCAAAGACGAGGGCATCGCTTGGTGAAGTGTTGCTCAACCTGCAAACGGCTGCACATCGGAATTCGTCTTGTTGTTGCAGGGTGCAGGAGCCCTAAGCCTGACAATATCCCTGCTCGTAACGCCTAAACCCTGAGTGCCTCTGGGGTTGTGGAGGCCTCCGGCCTCTGGGGGCTGGGGGCCTTTCAAAAGGCGGGCTGGAAGACCGCATAATAATCGTTGCGAAGAGCAGCAGCATACACTGACGGAATAAAACAGCAAAGCACCGTGGCGATGTGGTAGCATGGTAGGTGCGGGAGACAGCTGGGGACATAACCTGCCGGAACCAATCTTTTTCAGGCAGAGGCACCCACATGAGAAGTGTAGCGAACAACAAGACGAAGAATCCAACATGCAAGACACAAAGAATCCATGGCGAAGAAGCCAAATGCTGCAGCTCGAAAGCAAGCTTGAATAGCACCTCAACGGACGGCACTTCACAATGAAGTGAGATTTGAAGAAGTAGAGCCGCATGCAACTCTGTCACAGACCCATTTAATGAAGTGCCTCTCGCTCGTCGGCTTTGTCTGGAAGTCCTCCAACGAAGACCTGTCGGAACAAAGAAGGGACGTCCCAGCACGAGCACTTCCGGCATGTGACCAAGCTGACCAGGCCTTCAAGTGTTTGCGTACAGCCAGCTCGTCTTCTCTGTGCCTTGCTTCCGCAACTTCAAAACAGTTGCCCTACTGAGGCCCGATGGCGTCCTCATCTCCGGGTCGCGGCACGCCGCCGCGCCGCAGCTCTGGGGGACTAGCCCGACACCAGAGCATGCTCTGATCCAACCGTGGCTCACAAACACAGCAAGGCGCTGCAAGACAGGCCAAACAACAATCTCTGTCACCACTGCAGTGGAGAGGTTTGCACCTTTTTTGGAAAGCTTCAGTCGACTGCTTCGAAAGGCATCGATGGGCCTTTTGGAAGTGGTTGTGGCCTTGACAAAGGGGGCATACCAAAGCTCACACCATCCCCACCGTGCCATGTCACCACCCCCTCGAAAGAATAGAACTGCATCCAAGGCACAATTGCCAAGGAGGAACGACGACCTTGGCCTTTGCGGCGGCTTTGGCCGTGGCACCTCGGCTCTGCAAAACTGCAAAACACACCCTTTCTCTCGCTCTGCAGCCTCCGGGTCTCTGGCCAATGACGCCTACGGTCGAAGATTTTGGAAGCCCCCCAGGCCTGGCTCGTCGGCTCGTCAAGATGTGCCCTTTTACCAAGGGCTCTTTCGTGCCAGGAAACGGCGGCTTTGCGGAGAAAGCATCTGCCTCCAGAACGACAAACTGGAGACGGATTTCACCAAAGAATTGTGCCCGCCTCCATCTGTGAGAAGTTGCGCTTGCCACTGCGCCTGATGCTTATCACAATGTCATGTGACAAAATACGCAAAATGCGGAAATAACCTCTAGGCAAGGATGGGTACAACCACCTTTGCATGCGTGTGAGAATGAACGAACGAACGATTGACTGAAGGAATGAACGATCGAAGGAATGAAGGAATGAAAGAACGAGGAACGATCACACACTGTTTTTCAATCTTCTGGCAACCAAGCTCAGCAAAGGACCTGGATGAAGTCATCATGTAACTACATCTTTGCCTCTGTCAATAGGAAATAGGAACAAGATACTAAGAGGGAGTATTGCACGAGCTTATACGGTTTTTCCCCTACTGTCCACGGTACGAGCGCCTACTGCATTGAACCCTGTGCGGTTCTGAACCCCGATCGGGACTCCTCAATGCTGAACCCTGACCGTTTCACCCGACGCATTGTCGTGTTCGACACAGCACAACCACGATCCTGATCGATTGAATGCTGGCTGGTTTCATGTGCTTCGCTCCGCTGAACAGCATCGCAGACGTACAGCGCGTTTAGACCAGTTGGGCCCGACCAAGAACTGTGTAAGCCTCACCTGATATATCCTCCACCGCTACCTTCTGTTGTGGAGCAAGCTGAATTCCACACCCTGCTCTTGACGACGAATAAAGGCCACGACCCAAGCCTCAACGTACGGGGCTGGACCCTTACCCCGACGATGACAAGAGGTCAGGACTCAAACCTCAACATACAAGGCTGGGGCCTTACCCGTGACGATGCAGTCGAACAGTTGAATAGCATAATGACGGGGCTGCAGCTTAGACCTGCGAACCGTCATGGTGAGCCCAAAAAGGTTGAGCCGGTGCTCCACAGAGTTTCTTCCGTCGAGGTAGACTCTTTTTCAAACCATCGGCCATTGGAACACTGGCGAGGAAAACATGGTGTACGTTTCGCTGGACTAACGGCATCTTCTGAAGACCAGCTACTCGAAGAGTGGCATCCGCATGTTTGTTCCTGAAGCACCAGCCTCGTCTAAGAATACGCAAAAAACCAGGTTGTTAACCATTGTACAGGTCGGCGCTTGCTTCCAGAAGAAGAGTTTGCGTTGATTCGGTTCACCAGCAATCTGAGGAACCCAATCGCAGCAAAGTGCGCCAACTTTTGAAGGCAGCATGCCCAGTACGTAATGTGACATGGTCCAAATAAGGAACTATGGAATTACACATACATGTTGTCGCAGCTGTCAAGGTAGACTTTTCCAGACCAAATGCCATTGGAACAGTGATGAGGAAAACATGGTCTAGTCTACGGTCCGCCGGACTAACGGCATCTTCTGAACAAGCTACTCGAACAGTTGTCTCAGCGTGTTTGTAGCTGCAGCACCAACCTCGTCTAATGGGCTGTCTTTTTAAGCGGTACATACTACACTGAATGCTCAGTTTGTCCTCCATTGTCACGATCAGCGCTTGCTTCCCGAAGAAGCGTTTGCGTTGACACGCTTAACAAACAATACTGAGGAACCCAGTCGCAGCAAAGTGCACCAACTTTTGAAGGCACCATGCACAGTGCGTAACGTGGCATGGGCCAAAGGAGCCATGGAATTGCACATGCATGTCACCGCAAACCTCGAATCTTGCAGTGGCTTCGTTCCCAAGTCTTTCGCTTCACCATTTTCTTGTTCTGTGTTACAGCCCGTCTTGCGAAGTGAGAGAGAAACCTCACACAAATTTGCGACACTTTCTCATGATATCTCATGATACGCAGAGTGCGGGGAAAGGCAAGTTTGCGCAATTATGCAAACATGTCAATACAGTTCAAAAGCTGTTTAAGTAAGGTCATGCAAAGCAAGACCTTGTTGAGTCTCCACACAGCACCATGTCAGCACCTAGTCACTCCATTAGTTTTAACCGTCCTTCAGGCAACTGGAGCATTAGGCTTTCCAAAATGCGAAGAACACCGGTCACCGACCCGTCAGTCTTGTCCATTTTCAAGATCGGTAGTGCTGCATTTGCGTTTCTGCTGCCCAAACAGACTTTTTTCGGACCAATTTTGCAACCTTCGTGAACAGTGGCGAGGAGACTATTGACTTTCCGATAACCTAACAGCATCGTTTGCAGACAAGCTGCTCGAAGAGTGGCATCAGCATGCATAAAGCACCAACTTCGTCTAACAAGGTGCCTTTTTGTGGTACGTAACAAACTGTTTGTTATTCATTGTCGTAATTTCTAAAGATCAGCGCGTGCTTCCAGAAGAAGCGTTTGCGTTGACTCGCTTTGCCCATTTTGAGGAACTTTGTCGCAACAAAGTGCGCTGACTTTTGAAGGCAGCATGTGCAGTACGTACCGTGACATGGCCCGAAGGAGCCATGGAATTGCGCATGCATGTCACCGCAGATCCCGATTTCCCACTCGAACTTTGCAGCGGCTTCGTTCCAAAGTTTCGCTTCGCCATTATCTTGCTCCGTGTTACAGTCCGTCTTCCAAAGAGAGCTACTTGCACTAATCTGCGGTAAGCCTCTGGGTTTGGTTGTGTCTTGTTCGTTTAACTACCTAAACCCTAAAGCCTGAACACCCGAAGTCCATCACTACGAGCATTCGTGCAAGCCTCAAACCGTTTTAGATGTTTTCAGTTCTTGAGCTTTTGGCCCTTCCAATCCTCAAGCCCTCGGCCCAAAACCCTCCCTAAACTCTTTGGACCCTGTGCAGTTTGCAGACACATCAACCTGCATTGGCATGAGGGCTTTGCGCTTTGCCTTGTCTTAGGCCTGACACCCCTTTAACTCCCTAAGTCCTAAACAATCAAGCCTGCGACCGTGTGCACTTCGATGCTTGCGGGTTCCAGAAAAAAGGTTGAGACTTTTGCACACTGTCGGGGCGTGCTGCAAACCACGAATCACTCGGCAGGGACGAAGTTTCAGGGTCTCCGCTCGAGTTGGCGCGCGCGCGACCAGTACGCTGTCGCGTTGTGTTTGTTATACACATTTTAGCCGCATCAGTGACATTCCCAATAGTCCATAGTCTACGTAAGCCTCTGTGCTGGAAAGTATCGGTTCCTGTGTACATGGTTTGAGTGAGGTGAGCTGTCTCTAACACGATGGAAAACTGCGCGATGGCATTACGCACGTTTCGACGCGCCGTGGCTACAGATGAAGCATCATCGAATCTGATGAGGTTCCTTGAGTGACACGCGCAAAACTTACAGAGGCCAGCCCTTTTATCAAAGGATTCACAAGCGGATAAACCTTTGAGGCAATGAGAACTTTGGGCAAAGGATCTGTGCCTTTCGGGCCCTGATTTTTCTTCAAGTCGGTTCGGAAGCATTACATGAAGGCCGTGCAGGATGCCCCGTGCCGTGATGACTCTGCTTGCCAAAGGCCTGGCTTGCGGCACATTCGGTTCACTTCAAGTTCAGATGCTGGGTATGTGGTCGGTGCGAGTCTGGATTTTCAACCCCAAGTTGTGCGAAGCAACCCTCAACTGTTGCTATGGGGAATCATGCAGAATATTCCTACAGTTGTGGAGTCGTTTCTCTTTGGGGCGGTCGATTTTCCGCCATGTCTTGAGCCAAATATGATGGTACTTCTCAGTGTGAAACATGCGTAGTTACAGCCTACGGCGTGAGGCCTAGCAGCTATGATTTACTACACCACTACTAGGTGCTTAGGGGTCGGTATTTCTTAACTCCC